ATTGGTTATTCTTATATGCATGCATATAAGTCCTTCGGTTGATCTCTTAACCCGCCCTTCCCCCCAAACCCTCCCCAGGCTTCCCACTGTAGTTTGACAGTCTGTGGTGGTCTTGAGAATAGAATTGGTGGAGGCAATGGTAGAAGGAGGTAGATCAGTGGAAAAAAAAAAAAAGATTCAGGAATTCTTATGCAAGACACTGATACTGACTCAGGCGGTAGGGATAGGGGCAGACATTTTAACAAGTATTGTCAATAGGATTTTCTGGTAGATTAGGTGTCGGGGATGAGAGAGCCAAGGATGACTTGAAGGCTTTGGCCTGAGCAATCTGAAGGATGGGGTTCCATCCTCTGAGAGGGGAGACTGCTGGTGGGAGGTTTGGTGGGAAGAGCAGGTAATTGGCTCTTGAACTCTCCGTTAGACATTTGCGTGGACATGGGAAGAAGGCAGGTAGATATAAGACTCAGTTTTGACAGAACCATCTGAGCTGGGGATACAAGGTCAGATTTAGGAGTCTTGCTCATGAAGATGGTATTTAAAGCCACGATGACATGACTGGGAGTGAATGTGAGCAGAGAAGGGACCTAGGACCAAATCTAATCTTTCTGAGCCCCAGCGGAAGAAATAAAACATAATGTTTCCTTCCCCTGCCTACATCACTGGGGTCTTGTCAGGGCCATCTTCCAGCCTTTAAAGCACTTAAAGCGATGCATGAAACACCATCACACAGGGCTCTGTTTCAGCCACGGGAGTGGAAGGCGTGAGGGGTAGGCGCCCATCAAGGAGCAGGGCCAGAAAGGAGGGGCCCATGTCTTCCTGCACTGGAGGTAGGTCACACCTCGGGTGCTGAGGGAAGTCATGAGCCGGGGGTTAAATGCTGAGAAAGCTCCAAGGACCTATGGAACAATGTTTAAACTTGGGGTTAAATACTGTTTAAATATTGGATTAACTACGTAACTGAAGGGGGCTGAGTATCTGTCTTGGAAGGAAGGGAGAGAGAGGAGAGAGAGAGAGAGAGAAACACATTGATTTGTTGTTCCACTTATTTATGCATTCCTTGGTTGATTCTTGTATGTTCCCTGACCGGGGGTCGAACCCACAACCTTCGCGTACCAGGACCACACTAACCAACTGAGCTACCAGACCAGGGCCTGGGCAAGATTTTTATACCTCCCCGAGCTTATCTCTTAGGGTTGTTGTGAGGATTAAACAAAATACTTCAAGTGTTTAGAACAGTATCTGGTACATGGTGATCAGTAATTGTAGATGCATGTCATTATTTTCATCATTACTAAGTAATAGTCACTATGTGATAGTACTATGTGATGGGGCTGGGGAGGAGATCTCATACCATAGTGAAGAAGAGACAGATAGATTAGAGACCAGGACTAGGATGGCAACAGCATAGAAAACAGGTGCCTAAGTCAGGCAGTGGAGTTTTGGAAAGTCTTCTTAAAGGAGGTGGGCACAGGGCGACGAGGAAAGACATTCTAAGTTACATGGAAAGGCACAGAAATGAGAGACACCACCATGACCCTAGAACTATGAGTAGTTTGGCAGGGCCACAATATATAGGTGGATGCTGGCCATGTGTGGGAATGAGGGAAGAGAAGTATTTTATGGAAAGCTGCTCTCCTTCCCCCCTATGTTCTTAGAGTGGAACACGATGTAGGACATGCAGGGGGATGGGGTGAGAGGTGTGGAGTGGGGGGAGCATGAATGATCACACAGCAGAGTGGAGACAGACAAGTCAAGTGAACTATCAAAAGAGCATAATTAAAAAGGTACGGTTCTCATCTGTAGTGAAGACACCAGCCTAGGTGAAGGACAGGAGCTGGGGACTTGTAGCAATAAGAAAAATAACAGGCAGTGAGGTCTTGAAAGCCAGGCAGAAGTTCATTACCAGCTCCCTCATGCTAAGGACGAGCTTGGTCGGATGCACAGGCCCTTCAGTCACACCCCTTCGGTCCATTCTCAGTCACCTCGCTGAGGTGGGTATTTGCCTCCCATTCTACAGATGAGCAAAGTGAGACCCAGAGAAGTTAAACCCCTTGACAAGCGAATAATAGAAGATCCAGAATGTCCCACTAAAAACCCCAGTTTCTTCCTGATGTCAAACTGCCTCTCTCAAATTGAGATTTGATAAGGTATGAATTAAAAATGAAAATTCTTTGAGTCCTTAAGCTGTGGAGCTACAAATATACCTGGCGTTGGCAGCCAGACTTATTTCAATACAAAAGGATTTGACCTTTTTTGTTTTTTGTTTTTTAATCCTCACTGGAGGATATTTTTCCCCCATTAATTTCTAGAGAGAGTGGAAGGGAGGGAATAGGGGGAGAGAAAGAGACACATCCATTGGTTGCCTCCCGCACCTGCAACTGAGGTACGTACCCTTGACCCTGGAAATTGAACCCACGCCCCTTCGGTCTGTGGGCTGACACTCTTACCACTGGGCAACCAGCCAGGCCTGACTTGACTTCTTACAGCCCTCCTCCTCACTCTTTGGGCCACAGCTACAGTGTCCAAACTTATTCACGCCTCAGGCCTTTGTTCTCATGCCGGCAGTGGTGTACTTTCCCTCTGCCTCTTGCTCAGGGCTGGCTCCTGCTTGACATCCAGAGAGGCATCCTCTGAAGGTCCTGTGGACTTAGTCAGCTGACCTCTGTGTGCCCCTTTGCCCCCTTCTTCACAGTTCACCTCATTGTTTGCCACCGTTGGGTTTGTATACTTGTACATGTGTCCCCTGTCCCCTCTCCTAGACTCGGGGCTCCAGGAGAGCAGGGACCATGTCTGTCTCACTCTGCTCTCCCTCCGGGGCCCAGACAATGCCTGGCACAGTTTGTGCTGAACATATATTTGTTGAAAAATGAATGGAGGAACCGGACACCCTTGGCATGAGGCCCAAGAAAGCCTCCGAGCCCAGGTGCTCTGCCTCTAAGGAAGGAAGTGTCCAGAGTAAAAAGGGCACAGGACCAGGTGTCGTTCCCAAAGACTGACTTTCTAACTCATGCCCCACCCTCCAGACAGGTTTCTGAATCTTATTCACCACACTGCCCAGGAGCCCAGGAAGAAGTACCCAGAGACACAGACTGAAAGCCAAGAAATTGGGTGGTTCTCAGAGCCCTTGGTAAGTGTCTCCTTTACTTAGGAAGCTCGGAGGCAACAGAGGTTGGGGGCTGAGAGAGCAGAGTACGGCCCTGATGCCTGGTTTCGAACTCTGGCTACCATTTGCTAGCCGTGTGACGTTGAGTAAGTGACCGAGCTATTTTATAACTCAGTTTTCTCCGTGTAAACTGGAGATATTACAGGACACATCTCAAGGTTATGAGGAATAAATGAGGTAGGATTTGTAAGGTGCAAAAACAGTGCCTGCCACATAGTAAGTCCTGTGTGGAAGGTTCGGAGTGGGCCGGGGTCATGCACCTATGACTTGAGGCCATAATGTATCAAAAGAAATTTTATGCCAGGCACCTGGGCACAGGTGGGCTGAGTCCGAGAAAGGAATGGGTGCAGACAGAAGGGAGAGAAAGGTTCTTATTAGTCCTTGCTGGCTGCAAGCCATTCTGCTGACGTGAGGGTCCGGTCCGTCCTTGGCTCCTCCCTGTGCCAGATGTCTGGCTGTTATCAGGCTATGTGGTGGTCAAGGCTGCAAGCTTTCTGCAAGATATCTGCTAAGCACAATCCGTTTTCTCTGCCCCGTTTTATTCTCTTTAACCCTTTCACTGGGTTAGTGTTGATTGCACAAAGGTTGCTGAGAACAGACCGCCTGAATTTGCTCTGCCAGTAATTAGTAGGCTGGTCTTGGCCATGTCACTTAACACCTCTAAGTTCTGTCCCCTTCCCTGTAGTGTGGGAATGATAGCAACAGTACTCACCTCATTGGATTGAAAGGTCCCACTACCTACAAGGAGCCTGTAGCCCGTCATCACCCTAAATGATACAGGGCTTCTGTAACTAAGGACTTTTAAATAGACATCTCGAAGAACTTTCTGCCAGTCTTGTCTTTTAACTCTGCTTCTGTCTCCATCACCTAGAGGTTTTGGTTTTTAAGGAGGCAGTGTGCCAGTGTTTTGTATGATGGTTCCTGGGTTTTGTGCCTTGCTTAGGAAAACCTTCAACATCCTGAGTTACAAAACAACTAATTTTTCTTCTACATTTCCCCCTAAATGTTGTGTTTTTTAACACTAGGATTTTAGTGCTTCTGTATATTTTGTGGGTGGCAGGATGTTCCACAGCTGTATTGGAACTTCCTTCATGGCCTCGAAGGTGCCACGAGCTTACACGCCCTGTATCTCCACATGTGCTGCTCCTGCAGCCCAGCTCCGGGCCCCCAGCCACTGCTCCTTGGGGAAGTCCCGTTCATCCTCCGACACAGCTCTGGAGTCGCCTCTTCCATGAAGTCCCACTAAGGGATTTCTGCCCCCCACTGGCAGAGTTGGGCACTGCCCCCTGTGCTTCTGCAGCACCCTGTGCCTCCTCCTATTACAGCTCAACTCAATTCAATGTTACATGGTGGCTCTGGAGCCAGACAGCCTAAGTTCAAATCCCAGCTCCACCACTTTCTAGCTGTGTGAACTGAAACTCTGAAACTCCATTTATTTACTATCAAATGGGGATAAAAATATCAATACTTGAAGGTTTGTTGTGAGGATTAACCAGAAATGTATATAACTTGCTAGGAGAGTACCTAGCACAGGTAAGTGCTCAATAACGATGGGCTACTGTGCTGTCAGTGAAGAAGAGAAAAGAAGGCACATGGCCCCACCGCGAGCCGTCAGGTACTTCCCCGGCCCCTTGGCTTATTCCTGATTGTCTCTGTCCACTGAGTAACTATGTAGTGCACACCCTTCCCTCCAACTCCCCATTCCCGGTCCTCCTCTTATTTCTATATGGGGGCCTGGCTTCTCCACCGTTTCCACACTCCAGCCTGGGGCTAGTGGCTCTGCCGCAGGACAACTGCACGGGCATGGGATGAGTGTCTCCGTAAGTCCGTTCAGCCAGTGAGGAGAGAGCTAATAGCTGCGCGCTTGCAGCAGCTCCTCTTCAGACACGGGGGCCTCGCCTCGGAGAGAGGAGACTTTGGGAGACAGGGTGAGGGTTCCAGCAGGAGCCCCACCACTTTCACAGAGGAGCTGAGTCTAGGGAGAGGCTGAGGAAGAGACAAATGTTCAAAGGGAAGTAGGGGAGGATGTGGGCATGTAGACGGGGAGGAGTTCACTTATAGTGAATAAAAGGATTGTGAAGGAAAGAAGGCGAATTAAAAATCATCCAAGTTAGATAATTTTGCAACTTCTAAAAGTATTACAAAGCACAATAATTTAGCTCATTGTTCTTTGTTGTTTTTTAAAGATAAAGGCCTGGCTCCCTTGGGTACAAAGTGTGCATGTGGAAATGTATCTTTGACAAGCACATCTCACAGCAGGCTCACCATGCAGTGACAGTCACTAGTGTGACTGCTGTGGCCAGCCTGCCCTGCTCAACCCCCTTCGGCCTTGCAGATAACTGATTGCAGGGGCCCTCACATCAGGTCTCCACCATGGAGTTGCGAAGGGTCTGCAAGTAAGCTAAACGTGTTCATCATTATAAACTGGAGGCACTGCCACAAGATGGCGCCAGTGTCATAGTGAGAAAGTATACCCCAATCCCATGACATCCATTTGTGCAAACATAAAGTTAATTACGCTGGAGTTTCAGAGTGACGCCCTAGAGGGCACAAAAGGCTTGATCAGCCCCAAATTCACTTAGGGCTCCCTGCCCCCTGGCAGGACCTCAGCCTGCACAGGAAGAGAACTCCCACCCCAATAATAGGACACGGGGGAAGCACACGCAGTGAATACTGCTCGGCCTCTGGTCTCCTAGTAATTTGTGCTGAATGTGTGTCCGTCAGGTTAATTGCACAGTGGAGCTCCTATACCATTTACATTTACATGCCAGAGTTCTCACTCTCTCTCAGTCCTCTGTGTAATTACAACACATTCATTCGTTCATTCACAAATATGTGCAGAGTCCCTAGTGTGTGCTGCTTACTGTTCTAGGTGCAGGAATAAGCAGTGACTAAAACAAACAGCACCTGCCCCCCTGGAGCTCACGTTCCAGTGGGGGAAAGAGTCCATAGGCCTCCAGGTTGGGCAGTGGGAAGAGGAGGGCAGCAGCTTTGCAGGATATTCTCACTCCATCCTGCATCTCTTTTGGTGTCAGGGTTGTCTTCATTTTGCAAACTGGGCTTCGCAAGGAAAAGAACCAGGGGGTGGGCATCAGCAGAGTGGACCTTGATTCAAGTCCAGGCCCGTCAGCTTCAAGCCCAAGTCTTCCCCCTTCCCACAGGCTGCTTTCTGACACTCACATTCTCCTGTCTAGGTCAACCCGGAACGCGATGACGCCAGGCTGAATCACTTCGCGGTCTACAGTGACATCACTCTGTACAAGTCTAAAATGTGGAGCTTGGGAGAAGATGATCGCCACAAGTAGTTCGCCAGCAGTGGTGTCTGCCCACCTTCCATGTGCAAAGTGTGTGCTGCCCAAATAAATAAAGGTCCTTCCTTGAAAGTCTAACCTTCTCCTATCCAGTCTCACCTTTTTCCTTTCTGCCCATGTCCACTGGTTCAAGTCCTTACCCTTATAAACTAGTCAGAGAAGTTCCATTAAAGATGGAAAACTAACTGCAAAAATACCTCCTCTGCCTCCCCAGACCCTAGTAAAGAAAATAAAGAGATACCGAAAGTATGAATCCACAGCAGAGAGAGAACACTGGTAACCAAGAACACTGATGGGGAGCTAGAACGCTGGTGAAAGAGGGTGTAAGCCACCAGATGCAAGCTAAATGGGACACCTCTCAGCCCAGAGCCCACACCCCAGTCCTCCTTGGACCCTTAGATAGGCGGGTGTGAAGCAGGGAAATGACCGTGGATGTTGGTGAGGTGACTCTTGGCAGCCTCTCGATAGATCTGAAAAGGGGGCTGCTCACCGGTAGGCCCACCCCACACACACCAGCATCCAGGCAGGTAACATCTCCCACGCTGGAGGGTCATCCTTAGAGAAATGGGGAAAGCCCAGCGTCAGGGAACTAAGGAAAGCACAGAGTAGGAAGGAGGTATGACAATCTGAGAGGGAAGGTTGAATCCGTAGCTCACACCTACGGATTCAAAAAAACCCTGCATTTTTGCCCAGGGTTTGAAGCTAATGGAATCCTCTCTGGAAAAATAGAACAGCTCTAAAAAAAGACCCCGACGCGGACCCACTTAAAGATCCTTTAGAAGAGCCAGGGAATGGCCAGTCTGGGAATAGGGAGGTGTTGGGAGAGGGGTACACCCAGGGAGGACACGGAGGCTCCATGCTCCCTCCCCACCCTAGGCCGTAATTATGCTGCAGTTTCAGAGCGAGGCGCTGTGTCTCTCTCCCACTTGGCTGCTGGAAGGGTGAAGCCATCTGCTGCTGAAATCACTCCTGCGCTGGGAGCCTCACGCTGCCGAGTGAAAGCCCGCAAAGCTGCGAGGCCTCTCCCGGGAGACATCTTCATACAATATCATGGACCAGGCTAATTCTTAATGCCTGTGTGGTGATCTAGAAATGGGCCAAGATCCTTTTGCTGTAAGGCAGCAATTTTCAACCTTGTTCACCTCATGGCACACCAAAAAAGATAATTTTTTCCAATCTGACAAAAATAGGTATAATTTTGATTCATTCACACCAGACAGCTATTGGTGTGTTGACTGTTTTCATTTTTTAATTTGACAACCTAAGGCAGCGGTTCTCAACCTGTGGGTCGCGACCCCTTTGGCGGTCGAAAGACCCTTTCACAGGGGTTGCCTAAGACCATCCTGCATATCAGATATTTACATTACGATTCATAACAGCAGTAGCAACAGTTATGAAGTAGCAACGAAAATTTTATGGTTGGGTCACAACATGAGGAACTGTATTTAAAGGGCAAGAAGGTTGAGAACCACTGACTAAGGGAAATAGTCAGGTATTGCACGTTTTAAAAATTCTTGAAGGACACTGGTTGAAAATCTCTGCTCTAAGGGATCCATGGTCAAACACCAGGGGGTGGCATGGTTTCATAGAAAGGTATTTCCTTTCTCTGGTTCATAACACAGAGCTCCTAAATCCCCAGCAGTCTCATATGTAATAGCAGTGACAGGAATGCTTTTGTTGTAACGAGTTGACTCTTGGCAGCCTCTCTAGGTAGATCCGAAATGGGGGCTGCTCACCAGTAGGACTAAGCCTTGCTTAGAACCTTGGAACTCTCAGTCCCACCACCAACTTCTGAGGAGAGACTAAGGGTTGAAGATTGACTTTCTCACTAATGGTCATGATTTAATCAGTCGTGCCTACATGGCGAATCCTCCATAAACCCTGCTAACTACAGGGCTTCTCTGTGTTTGCCAACTTGTGGTGCTGGGAGGGTGGTGAGCCCAGAGAGGCATGGAAGCTCCTTGCACAACCCCCAACATTTAAAAAAAATGTTGTCAAAATTCATTAAGATCACTTTGCATGGTTCCAGCAAGTGGTCACTTTGTGGTCCTGCCCTACTGTGCAAAGTGAAGACTATGTCTTTTTAGAGAAGCCGGTGAACAAAGTAACAGTTCTCTCTCTCTCTCTCTCTCTCCTCTCTCTCTCTTTTTCTCTCTGGTGATATTGGGAAGGTGAAATGTGGCTGCTCTATTTAAAGAAACACAAGCAGGAGCACCATGAGCAGCACTTTCACTTTCAGAGCTAAGGACGTTATGATGAAAAGAATCTGGAACCTACTCTTACAATTTACACTGGATCACGAATAGCCTCACCTCTTTACATATCAATTAATCCACTTTTTATGCTTTCCTCAAAATACATTCATGATGAATAAATTTTTCAATTTTTGTTGAACTATTAAACATCTTGTTAAATGCGTAACGAAAACATAAAACATTGAGGATCAAATGTTTCTTGTAAAAAAAAAGTGCTTGCCTTTTTTTTGTTGTTGTACGTGACATGGAGCAGGCATCATTTCTACTCGCCAGCAAATTGCCTTGCTTGTTTCTAAATTTGGTTTTCAACATTTTATCATTTCTATTTTCAATGTGACCAAGTATCTCCTAGAGTCCCTTCCATGAGATTTTTCCAGTGTCACTATTTCTGGGACACCTTCATCACCTTCCTCATTATGTCCCCCAGCGCTTGCTGCACAGCTACTCTGGAATGACAGCAGTGTCACCACGCCCACCTCGGCTGACTTCAACTCCATTTGCATGCTTTTCAAATTTTGCTTCTAGCCTTATCACTTTCCACTTCTTTACTGCACTTTCATCTTCATTCATCAATTCTCTCAATTATCTACTTTTGTAAAATGCCATGTAGGTTCATTGCTGGGCAAAACAGAGGCAACACAATTCCACACATTGCTTGTCTGTGCGGTGACCAATCACCTAGACTTTGTAATTGTTATGCATCTCATCTGTAATTCATGAAGTGATTTGGGACTAAAAGGCTAATAGAAGTTACTGCTTTCTGCAAGTTCTCACAGTTAACAATACTTTGACAACTGAAATTTGAACAGTGTTGTTGAAAAACTATTACTTAATTGCACTTGATAACTGAAACCCATGGATATTGGAACTGAACAAACTATGAACAGCCTGTCCTGGGGACTGCTAGGTTGCTACCTTGCATTAAGTTGGTATTCTAAAGAACATGAGGAATGACAGTGCCTGCACCTTGATTACACTTTGAGGGCTGAAATGTACATAGCAGTAATAACTTACTTTTGGCCTTACCTTTGTGAAATGCTTTGTGAAAAGAAGAACCTATGTTCTTTCTTAAAACTCTCAACATCTTCCAAACATGATTCAAAGTTTCTAACGAATTCCAAGGCTCCTTGTTTGAAATACTATGCTTTACCCCATTTGCTAATATTGTACAGACAATCAAAAACAAGTCAGGGGGAAATAATTTCATCTTCTGAAAATATGGCCTCTTTACTCAGAATTTTATGTGAAATTAGTTTACAAAAGCTAAATTCACTTTTTTTTGTATTAGAATGCCGGAAGCCGGTCCATCCTTGCTGCTTGACACAGTCGCTACAGGGAAGAAACATCTGCACAGCATGTTTCAAGGGACCTGGCGTATATGGCATACTGTTCTTAATATGTTTGCTCCCCTCCTTA